TCTCTCTCTCTCTCCTCCTCCTCCTCCTCCCTTGCTCTCTCCCCCTTCTTCTTCTTCTTCTCTCTCTCTCCTCCTCCTCCTCTCTTGCTCTCTCTCTCCCCCCCCCTTTTTTTTTAAATAAATCCTGCAGTCTCTCGCCGCCGCCGCGCAAACCCGAGCACGGGCAACAGCAGCTGCGCCTTCTCCCTTCCCAAACTCGCCGGGACGTGATCTGAATAACACCCGGCTTGACCTGCTATTGAAAAGCCTCCCGGCTCTTTCCCGAAGGGAGGGTGGCTCTTCTCTAGGTTTCGCCGCCTTCCGCAGTGCGAGGGACGGCGGGCGAGTCCCGCGTTTCGCTTTCCACGCGCTCGCCGCTCGCTTGCACCAACTGAGACCGCTGCGGGTCCTTTCGGGGCGGCCTGCGGGCTTTCCCAGGCTAGGAGAGGACGAAGTCCGCGGTCGCCGGGGCTGACATTGTAACCTGTTAAGAACCCGGGAGATGGGTGGAAATCCAACATCCCTTCCAGCCTGCCTGCCTGCCTGCCTGGCGGTGGGACTAGCTAGCTTTCTCCGCTGAAAGATACGTGCGTGCATGTCACATGCATGCATGCAATATGTACACAAGGGTGAATCTGGAGAATCTGGAGACAAGCGATATATATATATATATATATATCTTCCGCGATGCAAGATAGAAAGATAGATAGATAGATAGATAGATAGATAGATAGATAGATAGATAGATAGATAGATAGATAGATAGATAGATAGATAGATAGATAGATAGATAGATAGATAGATAGATAGATGGATGGATGGATGGATGGATGGATGGATGGATGGATGGATGGATGGATAGATAGATGGATAGATGGATAGATGGATAGATGGATAGATGGATAGATGGATGGATGGATGGATGGATGGATGGATGGATGGATGGATGGATAGATAGATAGATAGATAGATAGATAGATAGATAGATAGATAGATAGATAGATAGATAGATAGATAGATAGATAGATAGATAGATAGATAGATAGATAGATAGATATCCACACATGCGGTAATAGGGAATATATTCTTCTCTAAGCATCTTGAATACCCGGGCACGTGTGATGGATGGCAGGCATCAAAACAAATTGTCGCGGAATCTGCCTTTTCATTAGCGGTTGCTCCCTCCCCCTCCCCTCTCTTTCCGCAGTAATTTAAAAAGAAGCAGGAAAATGCACCGCAGTGTCTTCCGCCAGGAGCGAGGTCCGGCGCCGCCCCGTGGCTGACATGCGAACTACTTGTCGGAATGAAAAACAATCTATGCTTCGTTTATGGGAATAACGTCAGGTAGAGGTGGACACGGAAAAACCGCGAGCGTTTTTCCCTCAGTTTGCCATTTCTTCCCCGGGAGTCAAGATAGCATGTCTTCTCCTTGTATATTGAGAGACACTGCAACAAAATATTTTACTCTCTGAATTGCTCTCTGGTCTTGATTTAATATTTCTTCAAGGAGAAATATTTTTTTAAAAAAAATATTGAAGTATTATTCAGTTTCAGTGGTAAGATTCACTTTCAATGCTGGGAAAATGGAATAACTTTCCATTTCCTGGAGTAGCTTCTATGCTTTTTTGACACCCACCATCACCACAAAAAATAGAAGGGATTCAAATGAGGTGTTTTGGAAAATCCCAAAATCCTAAATACATACATACGCAATGTATATTTATTTCCACTACGAGTGGAAAAGCCTAGTTTCTATAATTTGTCAGTATACCAATACTGGAAATAAAATAAATAAATCCCTCAGGGTGCTGCCTCCCTCAATGAGCTCATTCCTAAGAGTTTTTCAGAATAAAAAAGCATACTGCTTTTTTAACTGTACCTTTATTTTATTTATATCCTGCCCATTATTATTTTTATAAATAGCTCAAGGCAGCGAACATACCTGACACCTCTGCTACCTCCTATTTTTCCCCACAACAACAATGCTGTGAGTGGAATGTGGCTGAGAGAATGATTGGCCAAAGGTCACCCAGCCTACGGTGGCACTAGAACTCACAAATCTCCTGGTTTCTAGCCTGGTATCACTAAACCAAACTGGGTCTCCATGAGTCCATTATGAGTGGTAATAGAATACAAAAAAAATCAAATGGCAAATAACTGCCATCAATATTGTTTGCAATGTGCCCAACTACCCCTAATCATTACGGGTTTGAGTTTGGTTTTCATAATGGTAACCTGCAATGATACAGAGCATGATGAGTCCACAGATCGCTTTCTGTTAAATAGGCCTTTTGTAATTAAACAAGGTGGCCATTTTGTGAGTGTTGTAGCAAGCTCTTGGGTGTACCCTTTTAGTTTTAGTTATTCTTTTATTCTGTTGGATTTAGAAAACTGTTCAACTCCCAAATGAGGGTATGTTGTGTCCAAATGTGGCTTATGTAAGCAGCTTTTGTAATCGAAAGAGGGAAAGCAATTAAAAAGGAAAAGAACGTGTGTCCAAATAAAACACACATTGCACGACAAAATATCTTTCAGGGGCTCCACAATGAACCTAATCTAGACCAGAGGGTACAACCACATTTTCACATTTGTGAAACTCTTGGAGGATTTATAAATGCCCGAAAGGATGCTGTTCCAGAGGGCAGGTGCCATAACAGAAAATGCTTGTTTCCAAAGTGGCATTCCTTGATGTCCCGGCTGTATTTCAAACAGCGCCTTTCAGAAAACTAGGAACTATTGGAACTTGCAAACCATTGAGGACACCTGGGTGTACCGAAATGCACTCATCACTGCCTGTGCCACTGCATTTTGGACTAGCCTATAGTGTCCAGGTGATCTTCAAGGACCGCCCCATGCAGAATGCATTTCAGTAGTCTGACCATGAAGTGACTAAAGCATCCATGAGCATCTGAAGGGCTTCCCATTCTAGCAATGGGTGCAACTGGTATACAAGATAGACCCTGTGCAAAGACCCTCATGGTCACTGCCTCTTTGAGTGTTAGTTCAGGATGAGGCTGGAAGTAGTTGTTGTTAAATGTATTTGCCATGCATCTTGGTTTTAAAGATAAAAAGAGAAAGGGGATTACCTGTCTCATTAGCCCAGAGCCTTTATTAACCCAGGTCTGCTTATACAGCCATTATGTTGTTGCATTAAGGTTACCACCAAAACATAGATTGGTCAGTGATTGGACAAATGCAGTTAAAATATACATCAAGCCATAAATATTTGCAATGAATAATAACCCTAATGTTAACTTTTAATACTTTTGAGTGCTCCTTTGGTTCTATACTTTACACAATGTATATTAATTATTTTCAAAGATTTGTTGCTTGAAGTTCAATCGGAAACCCTTCAGGCTCTCAAGAACTCAAGAATTCTTGCCTGAAAAGTAGTTCTAGAAACAAAACAGTCTTAATAAAAGAAAGGCCTATTCCAGGGGTAGGCAACCTTGGCTCTTTTATGACTCGTGGACTTCAACTCCCAGAATTCCTGAGCCAGCTGTGCTGGCTCAGGAATTCTGGGAGTTGAAGTCCACAAGTCATAAAAGAGCCAAGGTTGCCTACCCCTGGCCTATTCCCTCTAGAATCCTGATCTACACTGCCTAAAAATTACACATTTTCTCCTTATACGATAAGTTATGGTGGCCTCTGCTGGACAATGGCTAAATTTGTTCAATTAAACTACAACAGCATCAGAAGGTGAAGGTTACAGTCAGGGCTAAGCTGGTAAATGTTTAATAACCAATTCTGTCATCCAACAGCTGATCAATGTACTAGGCATCATGATTCAGTTCTGTTCTCAGCGGGCTTGCAAACTGCCAGAAAATTTAGCAATCGGTTATTGCTAACCGATACAAGCTGGCTCCTGTACACTAAGGCAACACTGCTGTAAAGGAGATGTGTTGTGTGGATAAAGCATG